GTTACTTTAAAGCACACGCAGTATCTTTTTCTGGAATTTTGGGAAAGAACTGTTAATTGTGCAGCCAGGAAATAGTCAAAGTGAGAGGCAATCCACAGTTTCAGGAGGGATTTTTCAAACCCACCACACATAATAAGACTTCACTACTTTCCCCTCCTCACCATTGGAACATTGTTGTAACACTTTAAAGTGTCAAATCAGTCAAGGCTCTAGGCACACATTTAAAAGCGTACTGCAGGCTTTTGCTTTGCAGGTTTCAAGAACACTTCTTCAAATTCTGAAAAGTAAGTGAATCAAGGCTTACAGCATGAGAGGTGTAAAATACATCCGTCTTACAGCTTTCACAAGGCTGCATACGTTCTAGGAATATCCAGAAGTTTCATAACTAATGATGATACATTTTCAAAATGACATTAAAGTGTCTGCTTCAGTGCTAAAAGGATGTCATGACTGGTGGATATCAAATCTGGGGAAGGAGCAAACTCAGTTTTGCCTACCACCGAATTTTTCTTCTTGCCATTAAAGGACATTATTTTTGTAATAGTGAGAGACAAGATACTGCCTTAGCTGAACTGTGCTATCATCAAGTTTCACTGTTCCTGTTACACCATTGCACAAGTGAGAGATTTCATGCAGTTTAGAGAGGAATTACTTCTAAACTAGTTTGTGATTAGTCAGTGGGACTAGGTAGGTCTCTTCCAAGTGATTCTATTTTATTTCTATATTTTATTCCTATCCTGTTCTGTTTTAAACTGTAATTCTACACATAGAAAGAGTGGCCCATTATACAGGATACTTCAGGCACCGTCCTGGAGCAACCAGCTATCTGCAGGGAGCTCCATCAGAAGTAGGTGAAGAAGAATGGGAAATGACCCCTTTCCATGGGCCCTCCCACAGCAGCTCCTTGTCTGCTCTGGATCCTTGGTGAGGGTAGGAATGGTGAAGTGACCCAGCAACAGGATATGCTGGGGGAATGCATGCTCTGATGTGGGGACTCCAGTGACCACAGGGAGCTATCAGGGACAAGGCACACTGTGTTGCAATACATTATGAAGCATATAGTATAATGGCTTTTAAGTCTTTTACCAACACTGCCTGGTTGCAGCATGACCATGTGGTACCAGAGTCAGTCACTAAACTTTTCTCATGCTCTAGAAACACTAGTAGATGAACATAAAGCAGTGGTAATAGATATCTTCCTTCCAAAATATGCTTAAATGAAAAAAAGATGTTGGTGGAGGTCTACTTTTTACCAATTTTCTTTGTAGTGAGAGAATGTTTTAGGGGAATAGGAGACCTGATACAATGTCAGTCTGCAGTACAGCCAACATTTATAAAGAAGATACAGCAAGCACTAAGCTAAATGCTATTTGGGATAGGTGAAGAAGGCATTCTCTGTTCCACTCATCAAAGATATGTCCCTTTGGAGAGAAAAAGAGTATAAAATTCCTTGAAGTGAACAGGAGCAGATTAATGTCTCTCTAGAACAGCACAGGACATCTTGGATATCCTTCTCCAAAGACTGTTTATACCATCATCAATCTGTTGATTGTTACTGCTTCTCCAGATCTCATCTCTCCTAAGTACCAGTTATTCATTTTAAACTAAACTGCAATGGATTAAAATTATGGCATATTTCTTAGAACAGAATCAACTCTTAATGTTTGTTGGAAGTAATCTGGGAATGTAGAACTTGGTTTTGTCCAAGAAAATAGCCTAAATGTGCTTGTGGCAAATGGCAGTGTACATCTTATCCTCCTTCACCCAAGAAAAGCATTCAGTGAAGGTATTCCATACATTGGCAAAATCTGTCTTCAACTGTGATTGTGACCTGTGGCTGGGGAAGGTTATGGACATCGTATGTGAGAACTGCACAGTGAGCTCTCGATGTGGGTACTATCTGCCTCTGCAGACACAAAATTGCATTGCCAGAAGCCTCTGTCTCTGCCCCCTGCGCAGGAGCATTACAGATGTGTGTGTTCAACACCATGTGTGTGCCATGTCTTATTCTTTTCATTCGAGCTGCAGCTCCTGAGTTTGCGAATGTCTTTTGTGGCTTTGTCAAACATGCTACCAAAGCCAAAATAGCATCCACTCATCCAAGTTACTCACTGATGAAAGTTTGGTTTGGCAGGGTCAGCTCATGACGAATCCATGCTTCCATTTTTTACTCAACTGATTACAAAATTACAAGTAAAGAATTCGCTCCATTTTCTTCCTGGATATCTAAATTAGGCTTATTGACCTTTAGTTCCCTGGGTCCTCGAGTTGAGAAATTACCTTGACACTACTTATTTTCTCTTGTGAGTGACTGAGAAATCAGTTCTTGTGGTATGGGTTATGACGAAAGGGCATAGTATTCTAGACCCATTATTCATAGTAAATGGACTTTTTAGGAGGGGGGGTAATGGGTCTACCCATTTCCTTAGTGATAACAATACTGGGTTAACTATTGCGTTATCATCATTCTTACTTGGACCTCTGCTAATTATTTGAAGTCATGTTCCAGAGCTCACATATATATCCTGACATTGCTTAATTTACTAGTAGAGATGAACCCGAATGAGATGGCAGTATATCATAGAGTGAAAAAGTGGTGGAGATGAATAAGGAAAAACCCAACCAGAACAATAAGCACTTTGAATTGTGAAACGAGTCTTTTAATTTAATTGTCACCTTTCATACACTAAGAAATGCCACTAAAATGAATAAGTTAGAAATATGTGTTGAAATTGCCACTGAAATGAATGAGTCAGAAATGTGTGTTGAAATTATTCTGTGCCAAAGAATCTTGGACTTGGAATATTAGTTATGACAGGTGAGACTAAAATAATATTTAGTTCCACTGTTGACTGTACATAAAAACATGTGCTTCTCAGAGATCACAGAAGTGGGTATTGCATGTTATTTCAATTAATGGTCATTTCTCTCTGAAAGAGAGTCTGAAGGAAATTATTTGACTGACATCTGTTTTTGCCTCGGAAATCTTCAGTTTCTCATATGAACATTTCTCACACTTCTGCTGCTAAAGAATCAGGCTCCCTTCAAGACCTAATGATAATAAAGTCACACAGTTTGTAGAAGTTTAGTGAACTGTATTTCATAATAGTAAGAAAGAATGAAAATTACAATTAATTGGTCAGTGAAGAATGAGTAATTTAGTGATTGATAAAGCAAAAGCAGATATTAAAACAGAAATTTTGGAAGAGACCTCTACTTATTATTAAAAGCAAAGTTTCCAAATGCAGGGACCTTCCATCTTGGTTATCTGTTATTGTGAAGGCAGATTTGGTTACCTGTGTTTATGCTAAGTGCAATCTTATACTATAATCAGGATCATTAATTTAAATTAAGTACAATTTAGTTTTTTGTTTTTTGTTTTTTTTTTTTTTTTTTTTTTTTTTACAACTGAGCATCTTACAGTAGAATGTATTTCAGCAAAAGACACAGATTCTAAACCAGAATAGTTCTAGTGGAAACTGCTCTGCTCTCATAACTACTTTTGAACACTACATATTTCAAGCAATCCTGTTTATATTCTGGTCCTGTTAACAGTACAATAGTTTAAATTGTTGATCAAGTTAAATCTAGTTGCATGACCAAGGACTATCCATCTATGCTGAGAACAAATGGAACATATGGAACCACAGAACTCTAAACAGTGTTCCTTAGATAACATTTTGGGGAAAAATATGTGATAAGCTAATCATTAAATATATCTGGCACCCAAATGCCAAATTTCAGTTAAGTTCTCTATTATGTTCAAGACTGTTATATGAACAGAATATATACATCCTCCTACAGCTTTTTCTCATGTGAGTCACTGGACTGAAGTTAAGCCTACTGTTTATGTGGGAGAGGCAGTATGGAATCTGTTTTTTTTGAAAGAAGTCACTAAGAAGATGGATGTCCAGGAAAAGAAAAGTTAAGCCTGTTATTTTATTTCAGTTTTGCATTGTCAGGAAGAAGAGCAGTGAACTTGATGAAGCTATGGGTACATCCAGGAGACTTTGCCAAGGTAGTTGGAATAAACATCTTCTGACTTTCAAAGCCTGGCTGAAAATGAATTGAAACACAAAATTAATCATAAATGGGAAAGTAAAACATGCAGCATTTCATTTCAGAATAATTTTAATTGATATTTATTTTTTCTGTATTTTTTTCCTCTTTGCTGTCACTTACTCCACAGCAGCATACAAGACTTTTGACCACAGATACAAAATTCTTAGTTCTTTCAAGGAGATTTCTCACTGAACTTGCAAAGTGTTTTGAAGATTTCTTCCTTTATACTACATCCCACAAGGAGAATTAGGTTAATTCCATAAAAGAAGATTGAAATTAAATCTTGCATTATGCCTATAAGTTTTTATTTTCTATTAGAATTCTTAACGTTCAGATTTGTTACTTGTTCTTATCAACTGTGTTGCTACTGCTACTTGATCAGCCACCATTGTTCAAAGGAGGAAGAATAAAAAAAGATGAAGAAAAAAAAAGATAAAGAAGTCCCCTCCTTCCCTGGAATTTCCTAGATTCAGGGATGAGAATGAAAAGCATATAAACTGCAGCTGGAAATCTGGAGCTCAGATTTCCATGCTACCATCAGTATAAACATATCTCTGACCTCACTTGCAGTCAGTGCATCTTCTTACACTAGGAAATATTAATGAAAGTTTGCACATGGAGACCCAGATATTGTCATCTTTAATGAAAATATGGTCATGGGGATATCTTGATTCATGAAGTGGAGGGTATCTGTGTGCCAATGTACACCAGCCACTGTCTAACATTTGCCCACCCTTATCATAGACTCCTTTGGTTTCACTCCACAAGTCATCCCAACCAGGTAAAGCAGGTAGCATGGTGAAGTGTGGTCCTGTAATAGTGCTTTTGGCCCTGTATTTGAACAAATAATTTCAAAAACTTTCAGTTTGCATAAGCTAATTGGTATTTTTTAAAGTGCCAACTCTACACAAGTTACCATTAAAATGCTTAAAACTTACTGCATAGTCCGTTCTCACAAGCACTAGGGCAGTCACCACAGGGTTCTCCTGTTTTGTAAGGTGTCTGAATTGAACTTAGTAGATTCCCCCTGAAACATCAACATTGTCAACAAAAGCTGTAAAGTCACTATAACATATACGAGAATTAAACTTAATTATATAGATGCATACATATATTAATTTACAGAGTCTTTGGTTATATGTAAAAAAAAAATCTATATATGTGTTGGGTTTATCTGTAAAGGTTTTGGTAGTGGGGCTGGGGAGCGGGGAATTTGCAGAGGTGGCTTCTGTGAGAAGACACCAGAATCTGTCTTTATATCAGACAGAGCCAGTGCCAATCAGCTCCAGGTGGAGCCCACTGTTGCCCAGAGCTGAGCCAGTCGGTGACGGTGGTAGTGTCTCTGTGACAACATATTTAAGAAAGGTTAAAAACTGCTATGCAACAGAAACGAGAAGAGAGGAGTGAGAATATGTGAGAGAAACAACTCTACAGGCACCAAGGTCAGTGAAGCAGGAGGGGGAGGAGGTGCTCCAGGTGCCAGAGCAGAGATTCCCCTGCAGCCTGTGGTGAAGACCATCGTGAAGCATGATGTGCCCCTGCAGCCCGTGGAGGTCCATGGGACAGCAGATCTCCACTTGCAGTCTATGGAGGACCTCATTTCAGAGCACGGGGGTACCTGAAGGAGGCTGTGACCCTGTGGAGAGCCTGTGCTGGAGCAGGCTCCTGTCAGGACCTGTGGACCCATGGGGGACCCATGCTGAAACAGGTTTTCTGGCAGGACTTGTTACCCCACAGGGGACCCACACTGGAGCAGTCCATTCCTGAAGGACTGCATCCCATGGAAAGGACCCACACTAGAACGGTTTATGAAGAACAGCAGCCTGTGGGAAGGACCCATGTTGAAGTTCGTTAAGGACTGTCTCCCACAGGTGGGGCCCCACACGGGAGTGGGAGAAGAGAGTGAGGAGGAAGGAGCGGCAGAGACAACATGTAATGAACAGACCACAACCCTCATTCCCATCCCCTGGCACTGCCTGGGGAGAGGAAATAGAGAAATCAGGAGTGCAGCTGAGCTTGGGAAGAAGGGAGGGGTGGGAAGAAGAATTTTTTAGGTTTGTTTTTATTCCTCATTATCCTACTGTGTTTGATTCAAAATAAATTATGTTAATTTCCCCAAGCTGAGTGTTTTGTTTGTGATGGTAGCTGGTGAGTGATCTCCCTGTCTTTATCTTGAGCCATGAGCTATTTGTCATGATTTTTCTCCCTCTGTCCAGTTGAGGAGGTGGAGTGGTAGAGCGACTTGGTGGGCTACTGGCAGTCAGCCAGGATCAACCCACTGCATTATATTGCAATGTGAATGTGTAAATTAATTTTAGGCAGTTTATGAAATCATCACTCTGCCTTAAAATTCCCACTAAAGTTTTTGGTATTACTTATAATGTTCATTGTACTGTCTTTCATATTCCTGACACACTTCAAACCAGTTCCTCAATTATGGGTGATGTGCCCTATTACAATTTCCGCCATCTCCCAACTAATTTTAATAATTTAATAAGAAGTTCCAGAATCAGAATCAATACGTACATGGGGCAGTACTGGCAGACATAGAAGTATTTGTATTTACTGTTGGGACAGAAAGCGACAGCACATCCAGTTTGATAAGAATTGTACCAAACGATCTGTAGGTATAAGAATAAAAGTCATGGGAGAATGAAAAATATATATTTGAAAATCATTTAAGTACAATATGTATTACAGAAACATTTGCAACCAAGTTAAGTCACTTTATTTACCCTTTGTAGTAAAATATATGTCCCACCTTACTGGAAAAACAAGTTTTTCTCAGCTTTCACCCCTGAACCAAAAAACATGTTGGTTATAACAATAATAATTGATCACACATTTATACAAAACATTTGAGTTAAATTGTCTCAATTATATATGTTTTCATTTAATTGAAACTGTTGAAGAGATGTAAGAATCATGCTGTATATTTTGCAACCTCTGTTTCATGCAGGTGAACAGAAGAGATTCCCATAAGCCATTGTCCAACTGGAAAACATCTGAGTCAATGACGCTCTGTAGTCTGTAATAAACTTATTTACATGTCCTTCCTGATACCTTAATAACCCTGTTCTTCCAGTGTCTGAGCAATTTTCAGATGTGTCAGCAATTTTCTAAAGTTAAACAAACAAATAAGTTTCTTCCCTTTGTTTCTTCCTGAAGATTTGAAATACCAGTATCTTTACTCTTTACTCTGTAAGAACATTTAGCCTATTATTTTCATTTTTATTCTGTTACTTTGAGAGTTTTCATCTTGTTTTTGTCAGAATAATCCTCATATCTCCACTGTACCTATTCCTTTTAAAGGTAATGACAGGGTAAAAGTTGTCTAGCTAGCATATAGATTGTTTATTCCTCCTGAAATATAAAAAAGTTGCATCTACCTGAGTGTAATGGCCAATCATAGCATCTTGTGTTTTTGCTCCAGTACCGTATTTGAAATTTTTCTCCTCACTGTACCAGGCCTGAATAACATCTGACCACGAGGAAGGGGCAGTCGACATGAAGAGATTTTCACCACATTGTACAGCTGAAAAGAGAAAGGTACAGAAAAATGCATAAAAGATACATGTGTGAGAAAAAGACAGCAAAAGGTGGTATGATTTCCATGGAAGTTCTCGTCCCAGATGGGATAGCAGGGTAGGTTTGTGTTTTTTTTTTTTTTTGGTTTTTTTTTTTTTTTTTTTTTTTGTTGTTGTTTTTTGTTTTTTTCCAGTTCAGTGACATCAGTCTTTGTCAATACTGAAGTTGTCAGTTGAGACCGGTTTGCAGCATGGACAGCCTGCTTGGCTGGTAGTTTGTTTGTTGACAGACCTTCTGCATGACTGTAGACACCTGCACGTGTGCACCACAGATTCATGCCTGTAATTTTACTATTTGAAAATTAGCAACCTAGTCATTCTTCAGGTGACATCTCAGTAATTTTGAGAAAATCCCAATAATTCAAACTTATTTGAAATAAAAAAACTTATTTCTGGTACACAAGAAAGTGTCTACACTGTCCTCACCTACTGTTTTTATTCAGGTCCAACCCTACTGTGTATGCATTAGTTCTTATCTGAGATTCACCTTAGCAGGAAGCTGAGGATTTGTTTTTTAGGTAAAAAGTATGGAGTCTGAAGGACCATCCACATCTTACATACAGTATAGACAGAAGTCAGTCAGCTCCAGATTGGGCACTGATCATGGCCATTGTTAGCAAATTATTGCTGTAACTTCAATAAACAATGACTGAAGTGTTTATATGAGCCTTCAAGAGAGTTATATGTTGCAAGTTGTCATGGGATTTAAAAAAACTATGAGTCTTGTCTTATAAATTATTCTTAGCACCACCAGCCAGTTTTTTGTCCTTCACCCTTTTCCCCTTCCTTCCCAGACAGTTTAATCCAGCACATGCAATTTGGTTTCCGCAGTAAACTGGGTCTAGATTCTTTTCTTTCTGATGGATATTTTGAGAGTGTGCTTTCTCACTATGTTTTTTTTCACCTACTGTAGAAAATGGTTTACACCTATGTAAAATAAATAAATATTATTGGGATGAGAATAGGATTTACATTTCTCACTTACTGGACAGATTTATATCTAGAATTTTGCCTTTGTCCCATGCACCGATAAAAACAAATTAAATATAAATAGCATCTCAAAAAAAAAACCCAAATCAAAAACCAAACAAAATCCAAACTGTTCATATCAATAACATGGATGAAATGATTCAGTTAGCACTCATGCTTCACTTACTGGTTCTCCTCATGTTATCAGGACTGTGCTTTAAAGTACATTGATTGGCCCAATTTTGGGCATTCTTTGCAGCCGGAGGACACCATAGCTTAATGAAAGAAGAAAATATTTGTCATTCAGACACGTACCAACTAATAATCCCTCAGGAAGGAACAACATTTGGAAATTACACTTCAAATAAAAAAAAAAAAATCATACATAATATCCTTTTCTTCCCATTTTTTTGGGGGGTAGAAACAAATTTAGTATGAACCCAGTAGAATAGAAACTTTGAAGACTGCTGAAGAAGGTATCAGAAAGAAATTAACAATGCCATGGATGCTCCTTTTCCTTTTCTTTTTACTCCAAAAGAAAGAGACATTATTGTTGATATACCATAAAATTTTCAAGACTTTTTTTCCACCTGCCCAGCTTTATGTTTCTCTTGGCATTGGCCATGCTCAATCCTTAGGAAAGGTCTGGAGAGTGAATCTGTGGCTAAATGAAATAATGTGACCTTTCATACTGTCTTGTATCTCTCATAGAGTCCATTACTCATTAAAAATAGATTTACAGCATGCAACTTACCATCTTCATCATGTTGCTGGCAGTTGGATTTACTCCTCTCCTGAGGGCGTTATGTTTGTCAATAATCAGCTTTTGCTGATCTGCTTTGCTAGTTGACAGAGCGTCAAAACCTTCAGGTTCCTAAATTGAAAGAACATGTTATATTTCTTTTTTATTGGAATATAACTAAATCCTAAATCTTGTCTAGGAAATATTAAAATACCAAAATGTTAATATCAACCAAGGAGATGATCCCTGTGGTGGAGGAGGTACTGTGATATGCTTTGTTTCCTAAGTACCTCTAGGGGTGCTTCCATGTGGAGTAGCACTTTCAGTAGTTCCACAGTTTACTTAGCAGTAATAACATTGGTTCCTGTGTCATATCTGCCAACCCTCTGTGGATGGCTGAGATCATGGAACACCTCATGTGCCTGTAGACTCTTACATTTAGGCAAGTGAATCAGACTTATTTTATTATAATTTCCTTCATGATGTTTTGAGAAAACAGGATCTAAAAAGCAGCTGAAGACATTAATGTGCTTATTATGTGTTCCTTTTCTGCAGTATTTTAAACATGCCTATCAATTTCTTTTACTGAAGGAAGCAGTTGTTTAATCACAAGGTCATCACAGACCTCTTGTGGTACTCCATCAGGACATCCCAATGAACAAAGAAGTGTGCCTATGTTTTTCATGTCATAGGTTTTCTTCCTATCCTGCTATAACTAATAGCATTTCTCAAAATTTTCATGTGTTTTCTAATTAAAAAATAGGCATGTGAAGAACTCAGACTCCTCTTTACAACCATTCTCACTAGTCTTCTAGACTGCATCATGAAGAGTGGAAATTGAAAAATTATGGGGAAATGTAGTTCAAGACTTCAGTTACATTAATGTTTCTGAAACAGAAATAGTAAACTTCAAACTTCAGGCTACCTATGGTTTGGGAGGAACCACTCTAAGTGTGTGTTGACTATATTAGTTCATTAACTGTTTGAGAGAAATCAGTGATATGTGTTGAGCGGATGGGAATGTGAGCAAAGGGAGAGATACATAGCTCAGCACCTGTAGGATGAGAAAGGGAGAGAGTTAGGTAACTGCTGCCTGTAAAACTGTGGGGAGCTGACAGAAAGAGAGCTGGATCTCTGGGAGATCCAGATTACAGGATCCGTGCATGGGAACTTCTGGAAAACACAGTTGTCTCTGACTCAACTTGTAACACTGGGTCTATAGATAGTTTAGTGTGCAAGTGTGGAATCAGTCTACAACTTTGAAATTAAACAGACTTCAAAGATAAATGCTTTCCATATCCTAGATATCTAATCAGACTCTTTCTGTATATGAGTGGACAATGAGTGGATTGAGAGCAGTGTCGCAGAGAAGGACTTGCAGATACTGGTAGACAGAAAACTGACTATGAGCCAGCAATGTGTGCTTGCAGCCCAGAAAGCCAACCGTGTCCTGGACTGCGTCAAGAGAACTGTGGCCAGCAGGTTGAGGAATTCTCCCCCTCTGCTCTGTTCTGGTGACTCCCCCCTGCAATGCTGGGTCCAGCTCAGGGGCCCCCAACAGCAGAAGGACACGGAGCTGCTCGAGCGGGGCCAGAGGAGGCCACGAAGATGCTGGTGGGGCTGGAGCAGCTCCCCTGGGAGGCCGGGCTGAGAGAGTTGGGGGGGTTCAGCCTGGAGAAGAGAAGGCTCCGGGGAGCCCTTCGAGCGGCCTCCCAGGGCTTAAAGGGGGGACAGGAGAGGTGAGGAGGGACTCTATCAGGAGGTGTGGGGATAGGACAAGAGGTAATAGCTTTAAACTGAAGGAGGGTTGATTTATTTTAGATATAAGGAAGAAATTCTTTCTTGTGAGAGTGGTGAGACACTGGCCCAGGGTGCCCAGAGCAGCTGTGGCTGCGGTTCAAGGCCAGGTTGGACGGGGCTTTGAGCAACCTGGTCTAGTGGAAAGTGTCCCTACCCATGACAGGAGGGTTGGAACTAGATGATCTTTAAGGTCCCTTCCAACCAAAATGATTCCATGATTCCATGATCAGTGTGCATACGAAAAGACATATTCGGTCAGACAATAAGTGCCTCAGGTTCTATCCAGATTTTCTGAGTCTAAAGTGTGGGTCCTACCTCTCCAGTAGATGGAGGCAGCACAGCTGTAAGACACAGAAACACCAGTGGCAGAATCATCTCTGAAAATGGGAGAATGAAAATTTAATTTATTTTGTAAGGAGCTTTCATTTCTCTGAATACATAATGCATGTTTCTCCAGTGTATTTTCTGGCTTTTATTCAAATAACAAGGTAATGGTTTCTTTCTTACCTCCTCTCCTCATTCCATTTTTAGATGTAAAAAAATAGAATTCATTCCCTTTCTGCATTTCCAAATTTCTATGAACCAACTGCTTTGTACATATCATACTTCCTTCTGTAATCCTGGCTAAATACCTTCACCTGAAATCACAGTACAGGAGGACATTTGTGTTTCCCTTCCTGTAGGAAGCTTTCTTCTCATTGTCACACTGTGAAATGGCTGGGGTTGGATGCTGCTTTTAGATTGTTCCTGCACCTGCGTTAGTTTGAAACTTCCCCTACTCCTCATTGACTGCTTTGACTGGACTGCATTGGTTGAAAGGAGAATTAGACACTGAGCCCATGTGCAGATGTCTACACTTAGATGTCTGAGTCAGGATTAAAACCCCTTATTTAATCACTAGCACTGTGAAGCTTTGCACGTGAGCTGGGACAGAACTGGCTGGACCAGAAATGGACCAGCACTGGCTTCCTGGGAAAGATTTCTTTCAGAAAGCTTTTCTTTGTTTTTATTTTTTAAAAGATGAGTCTTGATTATGTTACAGATAGTGTGGAATGACAACAGAAACTAAAGCCTCTAATTGAAGAAGCAATCACCAGACTCTGGACTCCAAGACTCTACTTGCTTAGGAGGCACAAAGCACCGTCACATCCCACTACAGTGACCCAGTAGGTAATGTAGGTCACTTCAAAGTTCAGGTGTCTGATTGCAATCAGTCATAAGAGTTACATTCAGTTTGTTTCTGTTTAGCTACCTTGGGCAGGCAAGGAGGTGACTAGAATGGAATTTACTTATTTTGGCATTTGTCCCAGCCTCCCACTCTATGGGGATTTATGGATATGTTACCACAGAGATATATTATTAGCTTAACTTCTTATTTGCTTTTGAGGGGCTGCTGGTTTTAGTTTTAATTTATTCTTGGGGAAAGGCCAATAGGGTTTGCTGATCTTTTCATATTCAGCAAAGCCCCTTTACCTTGAGGCAACCAATTTTTATAAAACTCAAGGTGCTCCAGCTCATGGAAAACATGTAAGTAAGAAAAATCACCCTTTTCCAAATGGTGCAGCAAGGCCCATTTTCCTCAACAGCTTGTTTACATTGCACTGGAGGTGAACCACAGTCCTCAGCCTGTAGGCAGGGATGCTGCTCCAGCTCTGCTAAAGACCAAAGCCCAATGAAGTGGACTGCGACTATGAGCAGCTGTAGTTGGGCCAAAAAACTGGATAGGCTGGCCACATCTGTACAATTAAACTCTTACAGCCTTCAAAATAGTGTGGCTTTTTCCAAGCACTTGTAGTTGAAGAAAGATCTGGTTGATCCAGGAGAAAAACATACTGGTAATTAACACTGTAAGTCATTGATTTCCTGTTCTTGGTATTGTTTTATGTCACTTAAGTTTCATTTTGACATCAGCTATGCCTCCTTAAAGGGCTTTATGATCACAGAAGCTTTTTCTTACTAACTTTTCTATCACTTATTTCTTAGAGCCATTACAAAACATTGCAGGGTGTATGACCTAGATATTTAGCAATAAAATATTATACTCCCAATAACATGAAAAAAATATTCTTTTTACTTAAATTTTAAGTAGAAAGTAAATAGATGGGGTTATTTTTAGCTGTACTCAATTTACAAGCAAAAATATGTCTTTTGAGTGCAAAAGGTAGTGATATGCAAATAGAAAACAATCCTTTTTGCACCTAAAACATGTAAAAACAAATTATTTGTTTCAAAGGAAAAATACCTCTTCATTGAAATTGTGAAGTTTTCTATTATTCAAACCAAACTGAAGAACCTAACTTAAAGGCATGGGCAAAGTATTAATTCACTGTAATATTTTCTATGAATTAACTTACAGTTAAATATAATTGGTAATTTAATACATGATACAAATTTCAAAATGCTATTGGAATGCTTTTTAAGACTTAGTGGGTTTCCTGCTCCAAGATATTAACATACTTTTGGCAATCCCACTGATTTCAACCAAATGCTTATAGTTTATGAGATGTAAATTTAATTGCTCTGCATTAATTTCTAGGCACTGGTCCTAAAATCAGTCTCTCTGTCCCCCTCCCCTGTTCCCCCTCAATCAAACATAAATCAGGACATGTGCCAAGTCTTACTGACTTTCCTGCAACTCCATCTGTGTACAGGGATCTGCCACTGAAAGATGGTGTTTTAGCATCCCTAGTTTGTATGAGTTTAGCAAACTTGTGTGAATATATTTTTCCCATCTCTTGTCCTAAAAAAAAAAAAAAAAAAGGTGTATCCTAAGTTTTCCTTACAAATTAATATCTATTAGAAATAAACATCCCCATTAATTTTTATCATCCTTGAAAAAGACCTGAAAAGGAATAATGCAAACTGTCATTTAACTTGTACAACGTTGTTGCTCAAAGTCCTACTTAGCAGCCATCTTGCACAAGAGTGGTAAGTTGCACAAGGTGGTAATTTCCCCACTCTGAAAATAAGTGGTGATAGCTACATATAGCAATATAATATACTGAACTGAATATATATCCAATTCAATATGTTCAGTCTGTCTCTGTCTCTTTCTCTATGTACATGTAACCTGCCAAGATACTGCTTTCTTGCATACAGGCAGCTTTTCATCTGTTTTAGATCGTTCGTCAATTTTCTCTCCCTTTTTTTTTTTTTTTTTTTTCAGCTCATGTTACACTATTGCCTATGTATTCCTTATTTTTCACTGAATAAAATCCTCTTTTTTTGTGACTGTCCTAAATTGTTCAAGAAGTCTTCTGACAATAGGTTTCATTTTAATATGTGAAAAAATTTGCAATAGTTTAAGCAAATAACTCAATATAAATCCTACCTTTTGTTTCCAGGAAGATCAGAAGTTTCTTTCGTCCTTCAGGTGTTTGTGGAAGTGAGTGGAGTTCTTCACTGGAGGGTAACATATAGCTCTTCTGTTTCCTGATAGGACAAGGTGACTCAGCGTCACGGGTATTATAAAATTCAAATAGTGACCAGATAGAGCAGAACATTTGTCAAGTGCACATTCTTCCACGAAGGAGGTTGTTTGCTTGTGTTCCATTTTTATTTCCTCTTACTTCTTGTATTGGAAAAGATTAAATACCCTGAAATGAGTTTTGTGTGTATTGCTCCTTAGAAGTGAAATTTGCAGTCGGTGTGAATGCCAGGTACAAAGACTTTCTGCTAATGATTGATGCATACAGTTGTAGTAAGACTTGATCTTAACCTCCAGCAATGCAAATAAACTCAGCTGGATATAGAGTTGTCTCCAGATTGACATTGTTGTAGCCAAGACAGAATCTTACCTATTGATTTTTCCATGGGGGTAAAGAACGTCTTGGGCCAAGTCCCTGTTCATGCTATGGTTTCTTTACATCAGTCCTACAGTCTAAAAGTCAATGAAGGAGACAAAGATATTTCTGTAATTGAAATTTTTGCCCAGGATTGGATAAAGATTAAAAGATTATTGTGCACACTAACATTAAAACACATATTTGTTTCGGCATTTCCGTGTACATGAGGTAAAATGAGAATAGGTAGAAATATTGCCAGATCAGAAGGGCATTTGTGTGAACGTTGACTGTTTTCAGTCCACATTCAGCCTCAAGTAATTGCTGACCAGAGCAGCTGGTATTGTCTCCTTTTTATAAAAATTTTTTATTTTCCTATTTAAATTCAAGTCTTCCTTCCTTGTAGCCACTTGACTCCTACCCTAGCCCCTTGTGAAGTGTGCCTTCAGAACATTCTTTTGCTTTTTGTTACCTTGGAAAACAGTATATTTACTCTACCAGGTGACATGGTAGTGGTATGATTTGTTAGTTTGTAATTATATAGAAAGAAACACTCTGTCAGCAAGTTTGGGGTTGACACCAAATTGCAGGGAGCAGTCGTTACGATGCTGTGCTATAAGGCTGCGTTTCAGATGAATCTCAAAAAGCTGAAGAAGTGATCTGACATAAGTCGTCTGAAAGAAATGATCCGAAAGTGAACAACTGGGAGAGACCAACTGTCTAGGGAGCTCTGCTAACAAAGAACTCTTAAGGGTTGTTGCTGGACAACAACTTGCACAGGAGTAAATAGGTCTCCCTTGCAACAGGGAGGGCTAACCATGCACTGCACTGTATTAACCATGACATAGTAAGAGTATTGAGAACAGGGATTATACTAACTTTTTTCATAATTTCTAAAACTGTGTCTGGACTATTGTGTCTAATTTTGGTGTCCCCAGTACAAGAAAGATGTTAACAAACTGGAGTAAGCCTAACAAAGGGCCACTGTGTCAGAAAAGGGAAATGCAAAGATGGACTCTTTTGCAACATGGACATAAGGTAAGCGACACAGATTGCAACCCTGACTAGATATAAAGAAAAATAATTAATGACTGAAGCAGATTGACTAGTGAGGTGGTAGGTTTTGCATACTTGGAGATATTTAAAACTGGACAAGGTGCTAAGTAACCTAATCTAACTTTCAAGTTGGCAGTGCTTTGAACATGGTGTCAGACCAGATGAGCTTCAGAGGCCCTGTACAACCAAAAGTGTTTTAAGGTTTTGTGATTTTTGTATTGTTTACACTGGAAAGGCACCAAATGAGACTTGTCTTATTTTACTTGTTGACAGATATGGCAGTTTAATTAATTACAGTGGGAACCTCTAATTGTTATACAAGAAAGCAAGTGTTACTAGCATAACCATTGTAACCATTAATAATGAAAAATGTTTCATTCTGGCAATCGGTGAACCATGGATTCTAAGGTAAAAACTATATCCTCCTATTATATGCATGTCATTCATCTCTTGCATAATATACACTGAAACCTCTTGAATCAACTCCCCATTCCAGTGTAAGAGCTGTCTATAAACCTACGTGAATGACTCAGAACAACATCTTATCCCATAATAACACTTCTGTAAATAGAAATTCTTTCATGACACTTCATAAACTGTTCTTATAGTTTATTATCATAGAATTACAGAATCATAGAACAGCCCAGGTTGGAAGGGACCTTGAAAGATCATCTGGTCTAAACTTCTGTGGGAAAGGGGACCTGGATCAGATTATCTATCATCCTGTCCAGTTGCATCTTGAAAACCTCTAGTGATGGGGACTTTACCATGTTCCTGGGGAAGTTATTCTAGTGAATGACAGTGAAAAATGTATTTCTTATGCTGAGCTGAAACCTCTCCCAGTAACTTGTATCCACTGCCCCTTGTCTTCTCTATGTGACTCATTGTGAAAAGACAGCCTCTGTCTTCTTTATAGCTGCCCTTTAAATCCTGGAATACTGTGATGAGGTCCCTCCTGAGCCTTTTCCTCTCCAGGGAGGAAAGACCTAACTTCCTCAGTCTTCCCTCAGAGTGCATATTCTCCAGCACATTGACTGTCTTCGTAACCCTCCTTTGGACCCTCTCCATTCTGTCCACATCTTTCTTGAACTTTAGGTACCGGAACTCGACCCCATACTCCAGATGTGGCCTGACAAGCAGTGAGTAGAGTGGGATGATGACATCTTTATCTCTGCTAGCTTCTGAGAATGCAGCTCAGGATCCAATTTGCATTTGTTGCTGCGGTGATGCAGTGCTGCCTCATGTTCATCTTGTCCACTAGGACTGTCACATCCCTTTCAGCAAGGCTGCTCCCCAGCCACACAGATCCTGGCCTGTACCGGGATTTTTGATTATGATATGATATTGTAACTCTCAGACTGGCTATGGAGCTCCAGTTCCTCTTTTTTGTTGGCTTTAACTTGTATATAAAGGACTTCTACTGAAACTGTTCTAGAGGAAGGACCACTGCCTTCCTGAGCACAGGGGACCTGACACCATCCTCACCTGCCCAAGATTCTGAAGCAAACCTAACTGCTGAAACGTGTATCAGGGATGATAAAAGGTGGCTACATCAATTGATTTTAGCTTGCCTGTCAAAAACATGTATTGCATAAACACAGGCTTATAAATTGCCTCTCTGGCTCTAGAGTTCAATCTCCTATTAGAGGCTAGTGATGCTATACATTTATTTTCATAAAGCACCTCTAGTTTGAATTTCCATGCCTTCTATTTTGAGACGTGAGATCTGATTTATCTTCAATTAAAATTTTCCATCATAGAGTTCTTTTCTTGCTGGAGGCCTTAGTTATCAAAAAATCATAGAATACCAGGTTAGAAGGGACCTCAGTGATCATTTGCTCCAAACTTTCTTGGCAAAAGCACAATCTAAACAAGATAGCCCAGCACCCTGTCCAGCTGAATTTTAAAAGTGTCCAATGTTGGGGAATCCACCACTTCCCCGGGGAGATTATTGCAATGGCTGATTTCATTGTGAAAGTTATGTTGACTTCAGGATCACAGAATAATTGAGGTTGGAAGGGGACCTCTGGAGATCACCTAATTCAGTCTTCCTGCTCAGAGCAGGGTCACTTAGAGCAGGCTGCCCAGCGCTCAATAGTTATGTTTTGAACATATCTGAAAATAGAGACTCCAAAACCTCTCTGGTTAAGCTGTTCCAGTGTTTGATTATCCTCAAGATAAAAAAGTTTTTTCTCAAGTTTAAAAAGAATTTCTCGTATTTCAGTTTGCACGCACTGCTTCTCATCCTTTCCCTGGATATCACTGGGAAGGGTCTGGTTCCATTGTCTTTATATCAGAAACTTGTGCATACTAATATGATCTGTCCTGAGCCTTCTCTTCTCCAGGCCAAACAGACCCAGCTGTGTCAGCCTTTCTTCATGAGAGAGATGTTTTAATCCCTTAGTCATCTTAGTAGCTCTTCTCTGGACTTGCTCTAGTATGTTCATTTCTTTCTTGTACAGGCGACCCCAGAATTGGACACAGCACTCCAGTTAGTGTTGAGTAGAGGGGAAGGACCACCTCCCTTGACCTATTGGCAATGCTCTGTCTCCAAACCAGGATGCAGTTGGCCATCTTTGCCACAAAGGTACCTTGTTGGCACATATTCAACTTATCATCTGGCAGGACACCCGGGTCTTTCTCCACAAAGCTGCTTTCCAGCCAGTAGGTCCCTAGCATGTACTAATATATGGGGCCATTCTTTCCCAGGGATACAACTTGGCATTTCCTTAACTTCGTGTTAGTCCATTTCTCCATCCTGTTGGTCCATTTCTCCATCCTGTTGAGGTCCCTCTGAATGGCAGCACAACCACCTAGTGTACAAGCCACTCTTCTCAGTTTTGTATCATGTGCAAACTTGCTGAGGGTGTACTCTGTATCATCATTCAGGTGATTAATGAAGATGTCTCATATTATTGGCCCCAGTATTGACCCTTGGCAGGAAACAACTGTTTTTTTGGTGAGGTCTCCTGAGTTTACTCTCTACTGTTTTGTTCTTAGAATTTATTATAGCATTATTCTGAACTGAAATCTCTTGTTATCCCTAATCAGAAAATTCTGTATTAGTCTTACTGCTAAAATAAGATCTAAGAAAGGCATGTAAATTCTTGAATGTTTAATGAAAGTTGATCTACTAGCCTTCTTTCCCCCTCATTCACCACCCCTCCGGAAAATATCTTCTTTTTATGCCTGGCTGATCATTTTCATTAAATTTGGGAAATTAACTTCTTTGATGCCATTGAAGCTAGTCAGGCACATCTCCCTTGATAAAATACGAAGAAAAATGGACTTTTCCAGGATGTGAATCATTTCATCCTGTATTACTTATCTAAAGTAGATTCTATTCACAAAAGCCTACAAATGTCTGTTTTACTTAATTTTCTCTAAAGCCTAGAGCAACTAACTCAGCTGTAGACTTCTATACTGTAGATGTCTAAAGGTTGATGAAATAAATCACATCCACTGAGGGAGCAGAGTGGTCACGCACACAAAAAACATTATTATCTAAATCTCACTTCTCTAGTAAATCACATTAAATCTCAGGTATTTATAATGCATCTTTATGCCTGGCATTGCTAATATAAATACAAATCCTAGTCTTAAAATTTTTATGCCAGTCCCATCTAATCAATCATAAGCCACTGGTTGCTATTTTTCAGATATGT